AAGAAAGATCTCGACGCTGCTTGGGCGGCATCCACATTCGACTTGGAGCCTCTGACACAGCTAGAGCTTGATACCGTGCGATTTCTCGCGTCTGTTATCATGGTGCGATACACGGGCGGGGGTGAATGGGCGGATTTTATACAGCTACAGGATAACGAGCTCGAGTACATCCGTGGCCGCCCACAGGATCTTGACTCTCAAATACGGGTATATGCATTCCTCCGCAAAGCGGCACAAGCAGTGCCGGATTTCTATGCATATGTGACAGTGGATACTGTACGCGCTATCCTCGGGCGCGACCAGGGGAATGCCTTTGGGCTGTACGATATGTCCACGTCGGGGGATAGCGAGATGCTAGGATTCGCGATGTACATCAAGGCGTCGTATTTCAATCATGGTAAGTACTTAGTCTTGATCTCTGTTGACTTACTACATCATCTGCAGATTGTTCTCCTAATGTCCGCAAGCAACGGGAAGGACGCTCGATGCACTTTTATGCCGTCCGGGATATCGAGGCTGGAGAGGAGTTGTGCATCAGCTATATAGATGCGAGCGATCCCGTCGAGAAGCGCCGCGAGGAACTGGCTAGAGATTGGTATTTCACTTGTTTGTGTCGGCGATGCGAGAACGAGTGAGTAGACTTTGACTTTAATTTTTTGCCATTTCCCTATTGAATCCCACTGGCCTGACCGTCAAATGTTTATCATTGGTGTGTCTCCTGATGATGATACCCCATCAAAAGTGTGTGAGAGGTGGACTGTCCAAGGATCAAGACTCCGAAGTACTTGGACAGAGAGCGACCATTTGGCTATCATCTGATCCGGCGCTCCTTGTTGACTACCCGTTTGGTAGACTCGCTATCCATAGCATCCACCATCCAATATCAAGACTCTCTATTGCGACTCTGTGTCCGAATGGGTCTACATAATCATGTGATGTCCTACAGATCACCACCTCGCGGACGCTACACGATGACTCGTAATCAATAAAGGCTGTGCTTGACGTCTACGAGGCCTTGTTTTGGAATGAGATACAGGACTTCTCATGATCCGTAGGACCGAGGACAGTGGGTGGTTTGCACCCTCCTGCCCTCCCGTTTCCATGGGCGCCCTCATCGAATGGTCTGTCGCCTGGATGCTACCAGGGCCCAGCATCCCGAGCTTTATCGATCTCTCTGAGCTGTTCGAAGTCGGTCTACTCTCCGTTCACCTAGATTTAGCTGGTGTCATGCTAACCTGTAGGTCTCCGCGCACTCAGCGTTGACCCTTTACCTCTTTTCGGATGCTTCACCTGCCGTTCATTTACAGGCCGTCTCTATCCATCATCTACTGCAAGTTCTCGAATAACTTCCACGAGAAGATGAGATAGGTCAAAGTTAAACGATCTCTCCCTGCTCAAATGTATGGGCATTTTTTCAGGCAAGTTCTCCATTTCCTTTGAACATTCGGATTGGCTAAAGTTACCCACAAAGTTGCATGTCGCTTTCTTCGAGGATCTCAGCAAACTCAGGTGTAAGACAATCAGCATGTTTCAACCGGATTCGTGGTTGTGGAATTGCTAGGACAAGCGAGATCATACCGTTTGAAGGAGTGCCCGTCAAGACGTTAGATTTAGAGTCCCTTTCTGACGATGACGTCCCTTCGAAAATCAATGGATCTTCTCTTGATGCTTTCCGAAATGTGATGATCTCGCACTGCTCATTCAGTTTCGCCGTGTTTTCAACGTTCATCCACACATTTCAGTGCTCCATCTGCGAACATGGAACCAGGGTATCACGGATCGCAGAGAGAAGGGGACTTAGGAGATCGAATCACCCAAAGATGTCCTTAGAACCTGCGACTCGGATGTCATTGACATGCATCAGCGGTACAGCAACGACCCTTCGCACACTATTCTCCGTTGCGAATATGTTCTTCGATCAGTTACTATCACGGGAGTTATCAAAAAGATATTCCCAGGTGTCAAAGTGCCGGTCTTCCCTCTTTTCTCACTCGGCAGTGATAGGGTGCTCCTATGGCGCCGCACCCAGACCAGAGCTTGAGCGGGAGATGCAAACCCATGTAGAGGTCGTGGAAGAGGCACTGTCTGGATTCGGAACGGCGACACAAGGCTTGATCGGAGATCCGTCAATGACTTTGATAATGATGGATTAGTACTGAGCGCTCTCTGACCCGGTTCTACGTCTCCTAGATCGTTCTCTGAGGAGTATGAGTATCGAGGGGGATGCTTGTTGGGAGATATCACTCACAAATGGTTCGCAAAGAGAGCATAGTACACATCAACGACACGTTCGTGTGACTTCCTCGTACCAACAAAATGACCGGATGATATGAAAGATCAGGAATATTTCTTAGATGCCGGGAGAATTTGTGGCATAAGAATCTGATTTCGATGCACGAAGAAGGTAGACACAGGTAGACACCGCCACAATAGCTTGGTAAGTACTACGACCTTCATATTCCTTCTTCTCATAGTTTATTTCCAGAGTATCGATGCACCCCAGCATCTCTTCTGCTATTACTTGGTTTCGAGTTTTCTTCTGAGCCGGTGGAACGGAATCATCATAATTAATTTGATGAGTTGATGCGCTGACCACTGATGAACATGTTGAGAGTGAAGCAGTTGGACTCAGCCCGGTTGAAGCGATGTGATGCTGACCGGTCTTAGGAGGAGGAAGATATTAGGAGTCTGGGAGTCTTCTTTAACTTCTCCCACGTGGCTGTATAGTGTATATCTACAGATACTTTCCCTTCAGGACCGGTAAAGCAGCCCCAGACATATCATGCAGCCCGTTCCTGCAGGTTATCCGATAGAAGAACTGTAAGTTGCAATCGTGGAATCAAGCAATTATATTTCCTGAACATCTCATTTCAGGTCCGGACCTTTCGTTTGTCAAATTGTACATTTTGTCTATTCAGGCTGTAACACCAGAATTTAGATCGTAGCCTGTCTCCTGAACTGGGGACTCTTCGGGACCCTTTCTGTACAGCTCTGTGCGTCGCTCCAAGTCGTTCTCCCGCCGATTGTTTCTAATGCATTCTCGTTAGATCTATGCTATCTTGCATTTCCGAACGATAGACGATTCACAAAACATCTCGTCTATGGCATATATGTCATCGAATTTGTACAGACGACGCTCGTTGCTCATGACATGTTTGCAACGTATGGGTACGGCTTCGGTGACATGGACGCCCTGACTGGAATGAAATTTAATTGGCTCACTGTCCCCATCATGAGCGCCATTGGTGCGCGGAGTGTCTTCTGCTCATTTTCTGTTACTTATCACAACTTCAGCTGCTTGTGTGGCAGATCTTCTATGCATACCGAATCTTCATATTGTCGAAGTCACGAATCATCTCGATATTCGTCATTTGTGTTCGTTACTGCGCTCTTTCTCCCCCTAGCAGTCTAACTCATCTATTTACAGGTATCATTGACCAGCTCTGCGGCAGCTATGCTCACAGGCATTTACTCATTCCAAGCAGGCAACGTCACTAAACTCAACAATCGGAAGACATCCATCGCTGTCGGGGTGCGTAACTGACTGGAAGTCCCAAGTTTGTCATGCTGAATCATGTCCAGATTTGGTGTGGAACCTCCGCCCTATGTGATATCCTCATCGCTATCTGCATGACCTACTACGTGAGCTCTTTCTCTTCTTCAGTTATCTTCATTGACGTTGATGCTATCTCCAATAGCTTATGCGCAACAGTACTACTTTACGTCATACCCGAATGCTGATCACAAAGCTAATTCGACTCATTATCGAAACGGGATCTGTGACAGGTATTTAATTCGCACCATCCGCCGTTGTCAGAAGATTGAAACCACCTACTTTTAGCTACTGTCGCTTTGCTCAACCTTATCCTCTTTTTTGCGTTCCCTCATCAGACCTTCTACACGACACCTGCCCTGCTCATGCCCAAGCTATATGCAAATGCCGTTTACATGGTGCTCAATTCCCGATTCCGAATTATCGGTGGGCGGGATACCTATATGTCTTCAAACGATATGAGCATCACTACCACGATGATAAGAGATATCACCTCTCGACCAGCGGATGGGATGCAAAGACCGGCGTCAGTGGTCGCAATATCTAATGAGGGATTCAACGATAATTATGAAATTAGTCAAACGAGTGTCAGTCATCCTGCTTCATGTGCTTCATTTGAGCTAGATTTTGCCTTTAGGATAAGCCACAGGACGGCTGTAGAAGCCTCCCCGCGTAACTGATAAACTACATTCTTTGAGCCGACGAGCTTGTCCTAATCTATTTATTTAAATAATACTCACCGACATGTATACTTGGGCCACATCCAGTATCAGGCCAGGAGCTTGTCTGTTTTGGAGATGATCCGCTGAGGCCTGAGGTAAGTAACAGCAACTTACCTCAGAAAACTACTCCGGGGAAGGGTTCAGCCATAACCCTCCACGGAGGTGTCGTGCGCAGTCATAACGTCACTACGTAGCAATGGGCTTTCAATTGAACTGATAAACCGTCGAGTTGTCACTGTGTTATATTATAAGCTATGGTTCATGAAGTTACATTTGTCGTTGTTACTGTTTACAAGTGGCACAAAAATATGAAAATTGACAAGAAGTACTTAGGGGTAGGGTTGCGCACGAAACCCTACTTAGGTTTTGATACACCTAGGTGTTTATTCCTGGTAACTTACCTGTCATGTGACAGGTACTTGGGCAGAATAATTTAGTACTATTATGTGCATATTTCAAGTTCGATTGTATATTTACATATGAGTGGTCTTTAGAGCTCAATTACCCTGCATTTCAGCAATTGCGGCGCGTCAGTCATGTGATAATGCACATGTTAAGGTAAGTGAACCGTAGCAAAACTAACCCCCCTGGGGAGAGGTCCGTAACAAACGGTTACTTAAACCCCCCCCTCCCCCCCGGGAGGTTTCGTTCGCAACCCTGCTTAAGGGGATTCGAATTTCGAAATTCGCCCAGCCGTACGACGAAGTAAAAATTTAAAAAAAGACTGACAGAAAGGGGATTCGAACCCCTGCCATCATACGATGATGAGAAACCCTTATCGGGCAAGCGGATTACGTAATATTGCCTTCGCTTGAGTCACACGCCTTAGACCGCTCGGCCATTCTGCCGTAAGAACGTAGGCATTGTGGGTGACCAAGTATCGGTGTACGCCAGCAGTGAAGCCTTTCCTCCTAGCACGCGTGAATCCGACTTGCTTCTCACCACACCATGTCTCTGGTGGACCAAGCCTGGGAACAAGCAGGGAGACTGGCTAAGCTTGCCTCTGATTTGCCACAAGCTCCCGGAACGAGACGTGCCATCTGGTCGGCTGGTCTCTATGGCGACGTCTATAACGAGTATCTTGCTTGTTACAGAGCCAGAGGGAACCTGAGGACGATCTTCCGTGCACACCTCCAAACCGCCAGCACACTCTTTCCATCGAGCTCGAGACAATGCAAGTGATCCTGATATGTGCTATTTACAGATGCCCTGACGGGATTTTGTTATAATCATTCGGCTTTCAGAGCGAGCCCCCAACCGATTCCATCGTCTGTACCAACTCAATCAGACAAGACGAGAGTCTGAAAGCTACGAAAGACTCACGAACGGGGATGCCGTTGGCCCATCCAAAATAGCTAGCTCTTCACTTGTAAATGGTAATCGTGGAATGACCAGCGTGCGCAGAGGAATGAGCAGCATGATAATGACGGGAAACCCGATGGCGGCTAAGCGGGATTAGCACCGAAGAAGAACAAAGATACACTAAAGCTTACCTATCGTTTGAGTGATTGCAAACGTTGCCCCAAAACCACCAAGTTGGATAGCAACAAACATGAGGATACGCGATTTTCTGACTTTGCGCAAAGGATCGTTTTGAGAAGTCAAAGTCTTGTCCCGGAAAAAGTACAAGATTTTCTGTGTGATGCCGTTTCCCCGAAGGGCGTCTGCACCCATGAACCAGCTACACATATTAGATGGATCGTCACGTACAAGTGGAACACTCACAAGAGTCCAGCAAGCACACCCCGAGGAATGAGATTCAATATATGAAGGAATGGACCGGTGAGCAGAACAAGACAGAGGGCGCCCTGAGCAAGGTTGGACACTCGTTGTTCCACAACGGCGACAGGCACTTCAACGGCATTGGAAAATGTTTGGCTCTTCTCGTTGTAAGGCTCTTCCTCATCAGCCCTCTTGACAGGCCGACCCATTACTATCAGCGACGTCGTATGAATGGGAGCCTGAGGTATCAACCCATTCGGAGCTGGAACGCCAATGAGTCCAGCGATGAACGTCGTAATTCCGAGCAGGAAGAAATCGTAGTGAAAACCAGGGGGTTTACGAAGAGGAAACTCGGAGCCTTGCGCCATAAGAGACTAATCAACATCGGTGTCATGTAGGTAAGATAGAATGGCATAAGTGTCTTACTGAAACATTGTGGTCAAAAAAGAACAAGATCCAAAGCACGATTCCGAATGGAAGCGCGACGCCCACCCATTTTCCCTCTAGCTGCCAGAACTTAACGAGCCACTCCCTCCCGCTAGCGGCTTCGAACGCACCACTGACGGGTAGGGTCAACGGATTAGCAGAATTGAACTTGCCCCAGTATGCCATGGCAGAAGTCGCAACCAAAGAGATCGGCATGCCATAGTCCGCTAGGAAACGGCGAACATGGCGATGGAACAATGTCGTTCCGGAGAGTGATTGGAACAAAAATGACACCACGAGCATGAGAATAGCAAGGATGATGGAGACGAAGGTCCCTTGTACAGAGGATGAGGTGCTGTCCTTGAACTGCCTCGTGATGACTTGTATGCCATATTGCAGGTATACCCAAGAGACGTAGAAACCAAAGGTATCGCAGGAAAAGAGGGTAACGTATTTGAGGAAATTACACCCTATGCAGGGTCAGGAGCGATGTCTACAGAGGTTGACTGGTTACATACAATTTAAAATCGCAGTGGCCCAATGGATGATAGCTGCCCACAGATAAACCCATCCTATGAAATGAAGGTATACCGGGGCGTTGGTCTGTTTTTCTATAATGTCATAAATAGTCTTGTTGAACACCGTGATGGGGCCTGTGACGCCCGCAATCGTAAGGGGTTGAGCACCGAAAACGGAAAAAATGAATGCAGCCATGAAGGACGAGACGAGCACCTCGGCGACGCCATACTGTCCAGTAGTCTCTATAAGATCTAGAGAGAAAGCAATTCCAGGAAGAACACTACATCGCCGTCAACACTTCACAATTGGCAGATCACATTGGATACGCACTTGGCAAAGAATATCAACGCTGTAGCGGGGATAACTCTATAATTCCAAGCATCGGTCCAGTCACTAATGAAGTGGGGTGCTCGGGCGCGAATGTCGAGAACAATACCTGAGCCCAATGTCGTTAACCAGCGAAAGATGGGATTGCGGTTTTGTTTAATAGGACCCATCGCTGACCCTACGGTATTGCTGCGCCCCTCCTCGTCGTTCGTATGTACTGAATGCGAGTCGACGCTCGACGTCGCTCTAGTATGCCCTTGATTGGACATCAGTCTACCGCACACCAATGAAAACTAGAAGATAGGAAGAGTGTTTATAGTCGCCTGTAAATGAACGGCTGCATCTACGGGGTTGTCAGAGTGAAAAGCCAACGAAGACTTGATCATGTCCTTCCATAGTTGCGTAATACACCCCTGTTCGACCCCATGGGGGTACAACTCAGAAAATCCCAGGCACTGTATGTAGACTATATTACGGAACTTTGATAGGATGATAATCCCTCACGTAGACTAAGTAAGAATTCGCAGCGCAGCAGTGCCAAAAAGCAGAATCAACAACGAGAACATGATATTAAATAATACAGATATAAGCAGACAACAAAAATAAACATATGCAGCATCATGACACATCCATCTCCTCGTCGTCAGTATCCGAGAGCATCTCCTTGCTCTTACTATAAGAGAACGAAGCATAAGTAATCTTACAGAATTGATAAGAAGAGAAACGTACAACTGTTTTTTCCGAGGTCCGCCGGCCGTCTCCTCCTCATCGTCGTCTCTCACAACTCGTTTCTTCGACGGACGCTTCTTAGGTTTCTCGACCTCCTCGTCGTCACTGAACGTAGCCATAGGTTCGTCTCCTTCTCCCTCTCCATTAGCCTGTTCATTGTTTTTCCGTAGTTTTCCTCTCCGCTTTTTCTTAGGCTCTGCCTCATCGCCACTACCTGCAGCCCCCTCGGCCTTCGCCTTTCTTGATTTCTTCGGTCGCTTCTCCTTCTCGTCGTCGCTGTCCATCCGTACCAAATCCCTGGACCAGGCTTGAGCTTGCTCGCGAGCGAGTCGTCGTTTACCCGCTAGCTCTTCTGCCGCCAAACGGTCTCGCTCGGCCCTCTCGCGCTACTCGCAGTCAGTATAAGATATTATGAAAAACGACGAAACAACCTGTTGTGCTTCCATCCTATCCCTCTCCTCTTGCCGTTTCTGCCGTGCATCAAACAGTTTAGCTTGTGCACGATCTTCGTATTGCTTCTGGTTGGCTAGATGTTCATCGCCTTTCCGGAGCATGCTGTCGCCGTACTTTCGTCTTTGATCAGCAATATCGCGACTGTATGGGACATTTTCTGATTTGTCCGAAGCGAGAGAACCAAAGATTCTGTGAACAAGTGTAAGAATGACATTGCATGGGTCAATATATCCACTGACTTCTGAGCATGAGCTGCCTGGTTAATTACGTGACGCAAGTCTTTCAATGTCCGCTTTGAAGGATCAATGGTAAAGAGCATCTCAGCTGATTTCTGTTGAATCATGGCAATGTTGTAAAGAATGGCTTTGTCATTAGGTTGTATGTGCAAGGCCTATAGGAACACCTTAGCAAGCGATAAAGAGAGATGCTCGGTGGAATGCTTACCTTTTGAGCATAATGCAATGCCGTAGTCATCGCCTTATATGACTGATCTTTTGTTGCCTTGGCGTACCATGAACGGCACAGACACAGAAGCACCGATACATTTTGACCATGGTAGAAGCGTGTAGAAGCGGTTTCATACTAGATCCGATAATATAAGCTCATCCCTTCGTAGATGAACAACAAAACTTACACTTTCAATCGCTCGGTCATATTCATCACGAGAATAATAGCAGTGCCCCATATTGAAGTACACGCTACCATCGTTCAGCGACTCTCGAACCTTTCCAAACACATCCAGAGCTTCACGAGAGTTGTGCAGCCGTTTCAGAGCTTCATCCGTATTCGACGAAGGTTGTCCGCCACTTAGAGTACCGAGAGCATCTTCTGCTGTGACGATAGCCAGACCTTGAGCTGCAAATGCACAGAGTGGATCCAGCGACAACGCCTTTTCATAGAATTCTGCAGAACGCTGGAATCCACGGCGCCGGTCGTCGGTACCCTTGGATGTAGCATCTCGACTTTCTCGAGATTGCTGATACATAATCCAACCAGCCGCACAAAGTGAGTAGACATCGTGTTTGTCGTGATCCTTTAGGGTTGTGAACACGAAATCTTTTGCGAGCTTAGGCAAGCCACTTTGAATTAGGAAATAGGTATAGAACGCGCGGACATTGAGATCTTTGTTCTGCGAAGCTAACGCCTGTTTCAGAAGGTCATGCGCGTCATTGTTACGTCGCAAATTAGTGAGCATTTGAGCTCGCCGTATTTTGGCTAGAGAAAGGTTTGTCAAGCTGATGCTGAAACAGAAGCTAGAAAGAGAGTTTACCGTCAACATACTCCGGATGTCGTGAAAGCAACTTTTCATAAGCATCCTTTGCCAATCCATCTTCTCCTTGGTCCTCGTAGACTCGGGCAAGGTTGTACAAGATGGATGTTGACATACCCTCGCCAATGTCAGGACCGAGACCAGCTGCCTTGATAAGGGCATTCTCGTATAATATCCTTGCATCTGGTAATTGCTCCGTAAGGTGACGCAGCACACCGAGGTTGTTTAACAACTGGACATCAACTTGGCCCACGCTGGCTGACGAGTTGCTGATCTTCAGCGCCTCTCCTAACGCGGCGACAGTTTTATCCAAGTTCTCGTCTTGCCATAGCTTTGCAATCTCAACATACATATCCATGTCTTCGCTGATGATGGGAGAGACCTTGGATCGAGCCTGTCCGT